TGAAGTATTTATACATATTTTTCATATTTCAAAGTTCTTGAAAAAAAAAATCCAGACCTCAGAGATATAAAGGAAAAATGTAGTTTTATAATATTTGACCAAGGGTTTCACGAGTATGTTTATCGATTTTTTGTGTATAAAATTTACTGTTGAACTTCAATAAAAAATCTCCCATGCTGTTAATCTGCGCTTGTTACCATCAATATTGGTACATGTACACTGCCGGGAAAAAGTATTGGCACAACAAATTTTACACAATATATGCAACAATTTTTTTTTTTCTAATATAAAACTTGTACTTTATTATAACCAAATTGATTGTGCTACAAACTCACATACTCAAAAAAATTCTAAAAAATCTGATTAAAAAGTTGAAAATTTGCAGAATTTTCGTGACTTTTGCACAAAGTTTAGTAATTATATTTTTATGTTTTTTGTTGTAGAATGAACCATATTTTTATAAAAAATTGGCGGAGGAATATTAGAAAAAAAAATNATGCATTTACATGCTTCATAACAAACAAGAACACATGGTTTCGCAAATCAAGCAAAAATCCCTTTCAAAAATTTACCATATGGATTCGCAGTTTCATTAGACACAAATTCCTGAAAAGAACACAGCTCAGATAGCACTGAGCGCCACACGTATGTAGGTATTTAGATACATATGTATGTATGTAAAGAAAACTTGCTCCAACATACAGACATACATATGTACGCCAATTCGCGTGTGCTTCGTCGCCTGGCACTCTGGGTATTTAATGTTTTTTTGTTATTTTTTTTTATGAAAATGAAAATGAATGCAGTCAACAAGCAAACAAAGTCTTTGCAAAGTCGACACAAAATTCAAAATCCGTACAAGAAACCAACCGACTGACATATGGAAAGCAACTGTGGCAATGTAGAATAGTACGGGTATGTAGTTAGTGGCATTCGTAACACCATACACATCATATTTCTCACACCCTGGCGAATTGACATCGCACCATCGAGCCAAGAGGCTCTGCGCGCTGCACCCATGGGAGCTAAATGAGATCCACGAATGAGCGTGTAAGTAGGCGATTTTGCATGCAACGAACAGTGGGAGTTGTGTGAGACTCGTAAGCAAGAAATTATAAAAGTATTAACACAACATTGGAACACATGCTGGCAGAATGGAATGGTTTCTGAGGTAATTAAAAGTGTTACGGAATGGTCTTTTTAGTTCCTCTACTAAAGATGTGAATGGTACACTGTAGAAAAAAAAACTCGTGCGCATTGATTTACTTTTCAGACGACCTAAAGGGTACTTTTTCGAATGGGTCTGAATTTTTATCTTTCGAAAATATTTATCATAAGTGCAGTTAAAAACCATATAGTACAAAAGTATTAAGAAACGTAACATTTTAAGAGAAGTACATTCCGATTGGAGTAAGCCAAAAAAACAAAAATTAGTCTAATTTTATTAATCAACCATTTCCATTTTTCAACTGAAAAGCAGTTTTATAACCACTTGTACCTACTCGTAAGTAAAATGTTTTTTTTTTTGCTGTTAGTTATTCATTACCGCGTCAGTAAGAATATAAAATAAATATGATATCTAGTCCTTTTTAAAATAAATATGTACATTAGGGCGGGTCAATTTTTTTGGAAGATTTTTTCGCCTATGAGCATATAGCACAGAAAGATTCTACGTGTAATTCTAAGCAAATTTTCCGAAGAAACTGCGGGTCTAAATCAATGTGGAGTTTTCCAAATCGCGAAAATAGGTTTAGAAGAAAAATAATACTCCTACATATGACCCGCCCTAATGTACATATTAAAACACCAACGAGCGATGTTAAAAAACTGTCGCTGGCAAAACTGTTTGCCCATAAAATTCAGCTAATTAAAATGGGAAAAATACCGAGGAATACTTAGTCAACTAAACATTCATTTACACTCATACATATACATATATGTATGTGCATTAGGGTGGTACTTAAATATCATGGAGCGCCTCTTTATTTTATTCGAAGTCGAAAATAAAGATATCGGCGAAAATTAATAAGTAAAAAAAAGTTAAATTTATCAGAATTTAAGTCAAAATTTGGTCACATTTTTGAGATTTAAAAATATTTTAATTTTTTTCAAACCGTGGTAGCGACCCCCAAAAAATCTGAAATTTTGGTGTATTTGTTTATGTTATAAGTAGAACAAAAAATAAATAAAAATTTAGAAGCTGATATTTTTAAATACCACCCTAATGTGCATACATTATGTAAATTAAGGATTAAGTGAAACAGCAACTTACCTTTTTATAGCGAAGCTATGGTATTTGTGCCGAAAGGTCAGAAACTGAAGTGAACTGAAATATAAGGCAAGAGAAAAAATGTATTTAGAGTTTTCGAATATGTAAATAACAGATTTGCTTGTATAAACGTTCGAACATGCACATCTGTAGGCATTAGACATAACAACTTAACTCGGCTATAGTTTAAGTAAAGCACGAGTACCAAATCTTTCAGTTTCCATGCGATATTTGTAATATTTAAACAATCACAGAAATGGTGAAGTGAAAATGAAAAATTCAAATTTAGTGAAAATTTTAATTTTCCCCTACATCATTTGATTTTATCAAATCACAAAAAAAAATTCTCTTGACTGCAAAAATGGTTTAGCCCACTTCAAACTTATATTAATTCTTCCTCATATTGGTAAAAATTTGCTATAAAATTTTGAAGAAAAAAAATTGGCTTTTTCGAGAAAAGCAATTTATTATTTTTTGGCCGCCATGTTGTTAAGTTTAAAGGTTTTTGCAAATTTCAAACGAATTTTCAATGATTGTAAGTCTTCTGAAGAGAACCGGAGTCTTCCTATCGAAAAATATTGATTTTCAAGAATTCTATACCATTTCTACGAAAATTTGTTTTTTTTCCTATATAAAGAACATGGAAAACTTTGACCGACCTCTAAATATTTTTTGATTTCAAAATAAAAAATAGGGGCTCAGTATTTTCGGTATAGCACAATCCTAGGGGGTTAGAGCATAAAAATTCCGACTTTACTTTTCACGTGCATTTTTGGACCACCCTAATGTGCATACATGCATGACTCATGCGTGCTTACGTAAGGCTATTTGTGCATAATAAGATAACATTAAAGATATCTTAGTAGATCGACATATCTCGCCAGCCGGTTCGAAAACGCCCTATCTCAGAAAGTTTTTCAAGAACGCCCTATTCAGAATTTAATGTAGAATCGCCTAATTCAGAAGTCGGTTCAAAAACGCCCATATATGAACATATTTTCTTGGTTTTTAGGTTCTTTAACATTTAACTGTGATTTTATTCCTTTAGATATGCTATTGCATTGCTATGGATAGCAATCGAACAGATAGTTTCACCCGAAAACAAATTCGCCCGATTTTTTTTCATTCGCGCGAATACACAGAAACGTAAAGTGAACGATTAGGGGCGAAAGTGCAACTCTTGATAAGGCTATATATGTTTTTAAGTAAATATATACACATGTATGTATGTAGTCAAAAACCTCGCAAGTTTTTTCGATGCTTTAATTTTTATATAAAACGTTCATTAAAGTAAGCAATGGCCAATTCAAAATGTTAATAATTGCTGTATATTTTAACATGCCCAAGCAGCTAGTTATTTATCTGTAATGCGACATTATTATTGCTTATTTTTTTCCACCCGCATGGCAACACATTAGTCGATAGTGACAACTAAATGAACACGCATTCATTTTCATTCTCAAAGGTTAAATTTTACTGCTTCTTTTTCGAAGACTTATCAGCAAATGTGGCGTAAAATACACAAATATGAAGTACGTAGATAAGGCAAGCCACTGAGTAAAGCAGCATTTACGAATTTCAGAAAGCGTAGTGGTTATGCGACAATCAAAACGAACATTAATAAGTATGTACATATGTTTGTGTGAGAGGAATAATGTTTGTTTTTATATAAAATTCTTTAGTTATCGCTAAAAAAGTAGGGAAACCACAAACAAACTTCATTTGAGAGGCGAAAAGTTACAATACGTTTTTTTTTTGAGTTGGTATTTAAAATAGAATGAATCGTTGAAGAGCCTAAGAGCATTGCACTTTTTGTCGCACCAATCTTGTGTAAAAAAAGAAATCGATCGATAGGTATATGATTTTTATCAAGTTAAGGTCAGACTTAGACTTGCAAAAGTATTTGTGTTGGCTGAGAGAACTGGCCCCCCGATTGGAGTCGGTTAACTCGTGTCGCACAGGGGCAAAGTTCAGATTACCCTATGAAGACGTCGTAACCGACAGCAATCGGGACCAAAATTTATTTGTGATATCTGTGACCGTGGTATAACCGATTGAGGGGGTGAAACTGAACAAAATCGTTCATTTGATTTTTTTTAGGGACCACCCTTTTGTTTATACATAAGCAAATCCTAGAATGTTACTGGCCGTCTCCACAGGATAAAGTTTATATCTTGATACATATGTCGGAATATAATTTGCCAATAGAGACCGCTCATTGCTCTTCGAGAGCAATATATATCAGAGCTTATATCTTGCCATCTATTGCCGGCAATTTGGTAGTTTGGCAGCTACTTTTTCATTTGCACGAAAATTTCGTGGCTGCAACATCATTATTATTTTAATATAAAGGCAAAAATTTAGCTGTTTCCTGTTAAAATATTTGTAATTATGTATTTGGTTGTAAATGGCCTATTTTTTTAATTTTTTAAGCGATTAAATCCGGCAAAAATACGTTTTGGAAGCTATCATACAAATGCTTATATCAAGATGTAAAAAAGCCCACACAAATATTGCCGCTGATATAACTTATACCTAGCGACCAAAATGACAGCTGGGCAGCAATAAATTTTATCCTGTGGAGACGGCCAGTTAGAGTGAGCATTGGGGTGGTTCTTAAAATATCAACATCTAAATTTTGTATGGGGACCCACTATATTTACTTCCAACTATGTGCGAAATGAAGAGATTTCAAAGTTTTAAAATAAATTTTGGGGTCGCTTCGAGTTTTGAAAAAATAAAAAAATTTTTTAAATAGCAAAAAAAAAAAACGACACCACTTTGACCAGCTATAAATTAACAAGTTTTGCTCCGATCAAAAAAAGTGGCATGTCCTTTGACCCGCACATTATTTGTCTTTCTAACGATTGGGAATAAACAGACTTGTCAGTTAATAGCGTTTTCTTTTCTGGAAATAATGTTGTATTTATTCTGCCCTGCGCCAGGGCTGTAAAGTTTTCGTGTTCTTTTCTCAGCATCTTCACATGCATATTGCGTGCTCTTTCCTTAAAGTTTTGCACTCTGATAATGTTGCCATATAAGGAGGTGACATTTTTTTCGAGAAAAGGAAACGCCATAAGTCGTGAATAAAATCATACCCCGAAATATACAAAAACACCATTACCTCAATAAAAAAAAAAATATATTTTAAATGCGTTTTGATCTCAGGAAGTCCATACTGAGATTTTCGGTATTTTTTCAAGATTTTTCATGTAATTATGGAGATATATATTCAAAAACCAGCGTTATAGTGGTTGGAAAAAATTAAAAAAATGCTGCAATTGTTCTGAAACAAACTGAAACAAATGGAACTTTTTAGGAACATTATTTAAAATCTTCGGCAAGAAAATTCCGGCGAAATGTCATCTGTTCTCGCACAAGAGAAAAATATCCAGAAAAGTAGGCGAACAGAAACTTTGCAAAACTTGCAAGTTAAACGAACAGTTGATAGAATTTTGATTTAACTTCATAGGTACATAAGTGTAAATTTTAAAACATAAGAAAACTGGCCACAAGGTTTTCCCTGACACAGTTTATTGACTAAAAGAATAATTACATACTTGCTTCTACACTTTCAATTAATCTTATTTTATAATTTTTATCTTCCAGGCCATTAAAGACTATTTTGGTGATTTGTGTAAATTCCAACCATCTGTTTTCCTCAGTCGTTTGTTTAAGAACCACCCTAATATACATGAAATCCAAATGAAAATGGTAAAAATTAAGCAATTTATAGACAAGTCGTTCACACTTCCATTCAGCTAATCAAAATTTATTACAAAATGCTAAACGAAGTGCTACTAAAACAATCGAATAACATTAATGGTGCAACAAAAAACAATTACTGAAGCCGCTAAAAATTCAGCATTTTAATTAATTTCAATTTAAAAAAATATCGAAATAAACAATCAAAAATGGGTAGAAAAAGGGGGCAACTAAGCTCGAGCCACCACACAAAGCCTGCTAAAGATCGGACAAACTCATATACATACATACATACATATGTATGTATGCGAATCAGCAATAAAACCATTCTCAACACATTCATAAGCCAACGCAAATGAATTAATTCGTTGAACGATTTTGGAATCAATTTGAATTTCATTTGAAGTTGTCATCGACAACAACGTAACGGCAAAGCGAAAAAGGGCATCACGTACCCAACGGCAAACTTGCATAGAACATACACACAAAGTATATATAATTTTACATACACACACATGCATGCGCGCATCTATTGAGAATGTTAACCCAGCAGAAAAAAAATATACATAGATAAAAAATTAATCACTTGTAGTTAGCTTTTTTGCATGATATCGATAAAACGCATAACTTTTAATTACCTACAAAAATTTAACTTGAAACTAGTTTAAAAGTAATGCAGACCTAATCGGCAGTTTGTTTTCTTTAGACATGTTTCTATTTAAATAACCTCATATTTACAAATTTTACTTTGAATTCACTTTTTTCTGCGCTTCACCGATAGTTTTTCGAATTCAGTACAAATAAAATGAGGATCGAAATTTTATATTACGTGAATTCTTTTGCCACCGTGCTACAAAAAACACTCGCTTAAATGACGAAATACAAGCAAAGCAACAACACAAACTCGGCTAATTATCCGAGTTCAAACAGGTCGGTTAAAAAATACGCGACCTTAAGGGTAGTGTTGTTAAGCGAAAAAACTGCTCTGTTGTGAATTGTTAATGGGAAAGTGGAGAGGGAAATTTGTGTTTCCTTATATACGTGACTTATATTTTAAATAAGTATATATATTAACCAAATACCTCGCATAATCACTCATTTAAAATGGTTTTTGTGTGTAAATCCCGTTAAACTGATCATATGTTTCTTGCCAACCGGGTTGCTTAAATAGCTAAAAGGAAATTTTACCCGAGTTGAGCGTTCTTTTTTCGCACGCATACAATAAAATGCAGCTATTATTATGTTGAAATTACTTATGTCTGATGTCATTCGGCCACCTATAGCAGAGTATGTAAATAAATATGTAAACTTAAAGAAAATAAATAAATAAAAAATTAAAAAAAAAATTATAATTTACTTATGTCCAACAATAATTAGTTACAAATTAGTTGACACCTTATGTACCTTAATTATTTCGCGGTTATCGCCATACAAACATAGTTAGCTTTCGCCTTAAAAAAAAATAAGCAGATAATAGTGACCTTTAGTTCCTTCCTAATCAACTTCAAATTAACTTATAGTTAAATACATTTCCTGCAGGGTCGTTTGTTTTCCAGCCGTTACAGATAGCTGAAAAAGTTGCCAACAACAAAGCAAATGTTGTTGTTGCAATTGAAAGCAACAGTTCGCTTGAGTTTGGAATGTGGCGGTATACAAAACACGCTCGCCTTTCAATTAAATTCCATTGAAGACAATTAAAAGTATCTCGCAGATACCCGAGTTGCAGCCGCCGCAACAACACAATTTGAATGAAACGCCAGAACAGTAGTTACGCGTTTACATATGTATGTATGTATATACATGTATGTATGCAAGTATCTGCATGCTAGGCTAGCCCGTTATCTCGTCAAACTCGCAAATACACACACACACACACATGCAAACATACGAAAGGTTCCACTATGAAATGATGGCTATTCAATTACCGTTACTTGCATGACGCACTCGTCGGGCCAGCGATGACGAAGCCAGCAAAGTCGTCGAACGTCAACTTCATCGCCAACGCCGACGCCGCCGTCGTCGTGGACAATGGTGCATAGTATTTCCAGGAACTTGAACTTTGCTGTCGTTTGCGTGTCAGGCGCCAAATGCGCGAATTTTGCAACGGTGTTATCCTTTCGTGCGCGCTTTCCAGTGTTAATTTTTGCTGCTTCCGTTTTGTAACAAATTTCACAGAATAACAAAATATTAAACTGCATTTGTATGAAATTTATTTATCTTGGAATCTTTCACATGCATACGTAATACGAGTATCAAACACCTCTCGCAATTTTTGTTCATTTCAGCTTGCGGAATTGTCCGCATAATTGTTTATTATTTTTATAGTATAACTGATGATTCTCTTTGCTTTCACCTTGTACGAATTTAAACACGCGCGCACACTTTTCGAATATGAGCACGCTCCACCGCCCCTCTGGACGACAGCAACACACATTTTCAAAGGAAAACA